GTGGGTCCCTGGAGGTGTGACCTAAAAGGGTGTATCTCACTCCCTAGATCTTCCCTTCTCTCTCTGCTTCCTGCCCACCACGATGCGGGCAGCCTTCCTCCACCGTGCCCTTCCTGCCTTGGAGCCAGCCAAGCATATGTACACACCGAGACCTCTGAAACTGTGAGCCAAAATAAATCTTTTTTCCTTTAGGTTGTGGGTTAGGGTATCCTGTCTCAACAATGGGAAAGTGAGTAAAACACACACATTACCAATATTACGGAAGAGAGATGAAATAATAGATAATAAAAAAGAAAATAAGGGGCAGGTATGGTGGCAAATGCCTGTAGTAACAGTACTCTGGGAGGTTGAGGCAGGAGGATCACTAAGTTCAAGCCAAGCCTAGGCAACATAGTAGACCCTGTCTCAAAATTAAAAGGGGCTGGGGATGCAGCTCAATGTGGGTTCAATCCCTAGTACAAGGGCTGGAGGGGCTTCTAACCCCCCAAAATGATATCAGTTTAAGAAATATGCATGCCTCATTTCACTAACAGTTAAACTATATTTAATACTCCTAATTTATTAACATATTCAGATCAACATGAACATTAACCTAGGATATATTAATTGGAATTTTTATTTTTTTGCCTTAAAAAAATTTATTTTGGTCCTGAGAATTGAACCCAGGGCCTTGTAGGCACTCTACCATACAAAAAATACTCAATAACTAAACAAATAAATGCATCTATCACACCCTGTAAGCAAAAATCACGATAGCTTACAATCTACTTCATGGCCAATTCCTTTAAAAAACAGCTTTAACCATAATCAAAACCAAAATAAAACAAGGTAAAACTCTGAAGTCAAAAATTTCTGGAAAATACTTAAGTGGCTACTAGAATACACTAACTAGAATTAAGCATTCAAATAGTGCTCCTATCATAAAATTTCTTTTATTCCTTAAGCATCTAACTCCAAAAAAAAAGCAGCTCACATTCTCTTTTTTTTTTTTTTTCACATTCTCTTTTAATAATATATCTTAGAGGGGCGGGGATTTGGCTCAGTGGTTCCGCTGCTTGTCTCCCAAGCTCAAGGACCAGAGTTTGTTTCCCGGTACCAAAAAATATATATATATATAATATACCTTAGATACTCAGAATTGAAACTAATTCTTTACTTTTTAGAATCAATATATTCAGTTAGGCTTGTTTCAGCCTTAAGTATCAAAAAGCCTAATTCGTTTAACTGCCTGTTCTTTGATTAGTATAATAATTAAGGCAATTTGAAATTGTGTGCTATTCTATATTTTGCAAGTTTTTTCACATCAGCTTATTTAACTCCAATAAAAAACAACTTGGTGGCAGGTAGGTAGTTCTCCCCAGCTTAAACAGAGGTAAAAGCAGGTCTGAAAGACAAAATGACTTGCCTTTGATCACACATAAACTGGAAAGCCGCAGAGCTAGAATTAATTAGAACCCTAATCATAACGCAGTTCACTTCTTACTTTACCACAGTGCTTCAGGCAACTTTTGACAAAAAGAAAGGAGATAGAAATCAAACCACTATGGCCTCTATATACATGGTAGGTAAGTCAATTATCTGCAGGTAAAAGTTAAAAATTATTGGTAACAAGGAGATACAAATTCAGATTTGTTCACTATCTCAAAACTTCTCACTACTCCAATAGTTTTTCTTTATTTTTCCAGGAAGGAATGCTTAATAATTGCTGACTGTATTGCTTTACATGACAGAAAGCTCTGCACATGGCAATTAAATGAACAAAATATGAGCAAGTATATTGTAACTCATTAAAACATGGATTAAAAAACTCCAGAGCAAGCCAGTGTGGTGGCATGGGCCTGTAATACCAGCGCCTCAGGAGGCTGAGGCAAGATCTGGCTAGCCTAGGCAAAACAGTAAGACCGTCTCAAACAAAAGTAAAAACCCACCGAGCACCCTAGTACAATCAAAGCAGACACTGCAGCAGTATTCATCTTGTCCAATATCCAAAACATAACTCTGAGGGGCAGCAACTTGGAGAACTGATGTAGCTTTAGGGTAGGCCTAGCATCACTGCCAGATCTTGATTTGGAAAGGAGGAGGGATCAGCCAGTGAGACATGAGAAGAGATTTACTTCTGGTTAAGCTTGTCCTTTCTGTTAGGAGGAAGCTAGACTTTTTCATCCTTATAGAACATATGGTTCCTTCCTGGCAACCATTATCCAATTACAAAGAGAATCCTGCCTTGGAAAAAAGCCAGCACTATGCGAAACAGAGTGGAACAATGAGAGAATCCGAGTCTTTGGTGTCTTCATTAAGGTACTGACTAATCAGGAAGCCTACTTCTCCTCTCAACTTCCAGTAATGTTCAGCTAATAAACTTCCTTATTGTGTAAGGCTGTTTGAATTGGGCTTTTTGATACTTAAGGCTGAAACAAGCCTAACTGAAACAGATGTTGAGATTAGATATCTACCTGGTGGATATAAAAGTTGCCTATAACCAAAATGCTCTCTTGGGTTTTTGAAAAAAAATTTAAGAACAGTTTACATTAGTAAATATTTAAATCTAACAATGCAAAGTAAGTGAAATAAATTATAGAACAAACTTTAGAAAAGAAATGGGCCAACTCTAAGCTTATTTATTTTTCTGATTTGGACATCCCTGAGAGACAGACCTAGAGAGAGGGGTGACTCAGAGGGAGGAGAGGCATCATTATTCTATACTACAGGCCCACAGCAACAACTGAAGTGAGGAAGTGGTTGAAGATCTCTAACAAAAATTATTAATGGTCCAGGATCAGCCCTGGGAAATAGTAAGGCATGGTCCACTAATCTCAGTCTTGGGACTGATATTTATTTTGGGGAAAATTTTGGGGTGCTCAAATGCAGAGAATGCTTATAAATTCTAAGTGATACTAAAAGGGATAAAGCCACAAAGACATCAGAGAGAGATGAACCCTAAATTCCAAACTGCCCTACAGTTTTTGCTATTCTCCGACACCAACCATTAGATTCTATGCCTCTTTTATGGCATTTGTCCTAACTACAACTTAGTTTTCCCTTCCCATCACTTCCCCCGAAGCTTCTTCATGTGCTATGCGTTTCTCTCCCAATTCCTCATACTACAGTGACTGGATGCTGGGAAGGCTTCCTCCTTGCTCCTCCTGACCTAGCCCAGACCATTCTTCCTCCCTCTTCCCTAAAAACCCCATGACGGAATCTACTGTCATCGGACCATAGCCACTCACCTCCTCCACTACAGTTATCAAACTCTCCACTTCATCTCTTGAAGATTTTAGTTGCATGCTCATTACAGCATCTCCAACATTATTGCTGTCATGATGCTTGGAAATCTCAGCATGACAGAGTCTGCCCAAATCCCTGCTCATCATCTCCTCGATAACCTCTCTTCCAGCGAGCCCACCCCAACCCTCACTCTCATGGTCAAACCTTAGACCTTCTTAATTTTAACAAATACAACTCCTTCAAAATGTATTTTCAAGCATCACACTCTTGACTAACAGCTATTCCTAACTCCAACACTCCTCTGACTCAAAAGATCTACACCCCTCAAATCTCACCACCCTTTCACTTCCCTTCATTTTCTCACGTCTTCCTTAATCCCTTTCCCACCCAAATTAAATCCATGTTCAATCCGTCTAATCACTCCCACCTCTTGCACAAACTCTTAACTACTTGTCTTCTTTCAGACTTTGGCAATCTTGCTTGGCTAAACTGGTACTGATCTAATTTTCTGCCTATTCCATGTTAGCACCTCCACAGCTGAACACGGCTGCAGGGACACAGAAACATCTACTGTCTGATAACCGAGTTCTCCTTAAACCCAAGACCAGGAACCTTGAATGAGTCCTCACTGACGCTTAACAATGTTCTTTACCTGGTTCATTCACTCTGCCACTCTCATACATGACTATTCCATACTTTTCCCTCCTTAATCTTCTGTCACCTTCCCTCCTGTTCTTGTTTTCTCCTGCTGACCTTGTTTCCTATCTTACTGGGAAAAGAGAACCAACACAAACTTCCACAGCTCTCAGAAACACATCTACTAACTACAGCTGTGGCCAAATATTCAGATCTTTCTTTCATCATCAGTATGAGCCATTTCTGCTACACACAAAGCTCAGTCTTCTACTTGTCCCCTCAATCTCCATTAACCCACCACCTTCTTACCACCGAATTTTCCATTTTCTCAGTCTCTTACAAATATCAATTTTCCCATCTAAAAAACCAAAACCAAAGTCTTTCCCTTTTTTTGGTACCAGGGATCAAATTCAGGACCTTGTACTTGCAAAGCAGGCGCAGTGCCACTGAGCTAAACCCCCGGCCCAACCAGTTTTTCTTGAACATCTCCTGCATGCTACTGACCTGTTTCTCTTCTTCCTTCTTTAGCAAAATTCCTCAGAATGATTCTTTCTGCCTATTTCCAACTTCCCTTTCACTTTCTCTTGAATCCATTCAATCAGACATTTCCTTCAGCATTCCATCAACCTGGTCTTGTCGCAATCCCTAATGAACTGCAGCTTGCTAAATACAGCGATCAATTACCAGTCCACTTCTTATTTTAACTATTAGCATTTGACAGAGGTTCACTACTCCCTCTTGAAACACTTTCTTTGGCCTCTAAGACATCTTAAATCTTTGAAATCCTTAAATACCATCTATACATAATTCCCAAACTTAAATCTCTAGCCCGTTCCTTTTCTTTGAACTCTAAATTCAGACATTTAGAAGTCTTTTCAATTAGACACCTAGTATTTATCTCAAAGTCACTTTATCAAAACTTCTCTCTTCTAAAATCTTTTCCTTCAGTTCTACTCATTGTAGCAAATGGGTAACTCTATCCTTCTCCGTACTAAGGCCAAAAATTCTGCAGCATACTTAAGCTTTCTCTTTCCCTCACTCTCTCTGCCCTCTTCTTTCTCGCCCTCTGTCAACAAATTCTGTGGGCCTTCCAAAGACCAGTTAGTTAGTTACTACTTCTACTTGGCTGAAATCCTCACCTCTCTCTCATCTGGATTACAGCAACAGCCTCCTGGGTGGCTCCCTGCTTCTGCCCTTGTTCTCTTTCAGTCTTTTCTCCACACAGTTGCCAGAATTAATCTGTAAAAGTAAGTCCAATCACATAACTCATTCAATGTCTTTCTGTATCACATAACATTTAGCCCAAATGCCAAGGTCCTTAAAATGACCTCTGTAACAGCCTGCTCAACCTAACTAGCTCCCCCATCACCACTATTATCTTCCCGACTTCCTCCTCCATTACTCTGTCCTTTACTCCACTCCAGTGACAAGGCTGTTCAAAGGTAACTGCTTCAGGTCAGCTCCAGCCCCAGGGTTTTGGCATCTGTGAATCCCTGGGCCTATGATGCTTTGTATTCGTCTGCATATCTCACTTACTTACTGTTTTCATGTTATTTAAAAGTCCATTTTCTCATTGAATTTTGCCTCGCTATCCTTTAAAGAAGTGCAACTCTTCCTATACCTACCCTGCTTTATATTTCCTCTTTTATTACTTATCATTGAGCATGCTGTATATTTACTTACCTTTTTCAACATCCTACATAAATTTTTTGGGGTACTGGGGATCAAACTCAGGACCTTGAGCTTGTGAGGCAGGCGGCGGAACCACTAAACTAAATCCCCAGCGTCCTACCTAAAATTTAAGTTTTATGAGGATAGGGATTTTTGTTTGTCTCTTGTGTTCGCTTACATATTTCCAAAGCCTAGAGCAGTGACTGGCAGAAAACGCTCATACAAATGCTTGATAAATAAATGAAGTCATAGACCCCCTTCAAAGATGATATAAAATTAATTTTTCACAGAATCAAGATTATATCAGAAGGGACCACTGAAAATTGTCAATTTTATTTCTATTTAGTGATTATTAATGCAGGATCAGAGTTAGAGCTAATAACTACACTAATGTTCTTCCTACAAAGACTTTTCTGATGCTTCCTTTCTAATAGTTGATCACTTGGAATTTTCCAAGTAGTAAATTCATTCTGATATTCTGGCACCTGCCTCATGCCATGGTTTGGACATGTCCCCTAAAGTTTGTAAGTGTTAGAAACCTAACCACCAACACAACAGTGGTAGGAGGTGAGATCTTTAAATAGTGATTTACAGTGAACCCTTAAGTTATGAGCAGCCTGACATACAAACAAGTTGGGTTACAACTGGAATTTTAGTTTTAACTTATGAACAAAGTCTTGAGTTACAACCCAAATACCAGCCACTTGTGCTTCCAGATGGTCTCCGATACCGATTTAACCCTTAAAGAGTTCTGGAAGGAACACTACAACATCCTTTCCTGTGTGCGGTTAATTGAGAAATCCTGGGCCAATGTCTTTCTAAGGACACTGAGATGTGCCTGTATACAGGAGAGACTTTGAAGGCTGTGTAGAGGAACCTGAGCCTTCAACTGACCAACCTGAGTTATAACCAGCCCTTGAGAACGAACTGAGTTCCTAAGTCAAGGGTCCACTGTATCTTCAAGTGGTTATTAACTAATGCCTTGACTGCTGGAGTGGGTCCTTGATAAAAATGAAGGGTTTGCCCTCCCCTGCCCGTGTGCTCTTACCCTTCCACTGTGGCATGACGCAGTAGGAAGGACCTTGCCAAGGGCAGGTTCTTCAGCTTTGGCCTTCCCAAACTCCAGAGCTGAAAGAAATAAATATCCATTCCTTACAAACTACTCAGTCTCCTATATTCTTTAATAGCAACATAAAATGGACACAACGCAAAATGCTCTTTGTAGAGGACTGTTTATGTATCTCTATTATCTCCTCTAAGACGACATGCTTTGTAGGCCAGGGGTTAGGCTGCCAAGGGTTAGAGGGATGGCTCTGAATATAAAGGGACAGTAGAGATGTTTGTGGTGACAGAACTGTTTTGTAGTATCTTTTTAAAAAATGTATTTATTTTTATTAGTACATATTTGCTATACATAATGATCACATTCATCATAGGGAATTTGTACCTGTATATATGTCTTAGCTCTTTTTTTCCTATTCCCCTCCCCTTCCTTCAACTATTCTTCCCCTCCCCACTTACAAAAGCTTTGTTTCTATTTTGTTCCCTTTCATTCTTTTTTTAAAAATCCCTTTTCCCTTCCTTCTCTTCCACCTTCCCCTCCCTTGTTCTCCTTCCCACTTAAACATGTTCTTCCGGACTTCCCAGCATTATTTTGCTTGTTATTTACCCTTCAGATTTCTCACACAAGAAACAATATGATATTTAAAGTTGCGTGTCTGATTTATTTCACTTAACAGTTCTGTAGTATCTTAATCATGACTACACAAATCTATGTATTTTGATAAAATTGCAAAGAGTTATACACATAAACAGTGAGTATATGTAAAAGTAGTAAAATATGAATAAGGTCTGAGGGTTGTGCCAAGGCCATTTCACGGTTTTGATGCTGTACTAGTTATGTACAATGTCACCACTGGGAGGAAATAGACTAAGGGTATGTGTGACCTCTCTGGATTAAATCTGTAGCTTTCTAAGACTCTCTAATTACTCAAAATTGAAAATTCTCAGTAATACATTCTACACACACATGCATGTGTGCGCGCATGCACATATGCACCCCCCAGAAGCAATGTAAAGTGTACACACCAAACAAGATCTGACTTCAATCCCTCACTCCTTTTTCTCAATCCCTCTCCAGAAGCAGCTACTATTCCTTTTCCTGTATACCCTTCCATACATACTGAAGCATCAATGCTTGTTAGTGTGCGCATATGTGTATTTACACCACATATACAAAACTTACTTTTCTACAGTAATTTCAGCATACCATAAACACTTCTGTGACTTTTTTTCCCCACTCAATAACGTGTTTGAGAGATGAGCTCATGCGTCAGTGCTCTTTTTTTCTGTTTATACAACTGTGTGATATCCCACCGTGAGGCTGTAGTATCATTTACTTAACCAGACTTATATGAAGAGTTATTTAGGGCTTTTGGTAATATAATTAGCAAAGATAAATTCCTTCAGATGAATGAATCAATAGTATGAAGAGTTATCACTTTAATAAGTTAATGTCCTCCAAAGAAATTGTACAAATTTATTCCTCTACCTATAGTACAGAGGAGTGATTCTACAAGTCCTTGCTATTATTATTATTGAACTTTTAAATCTTTATCAATCTGACAAGTGAAAAATGCTGTTTTGTTTAAATTTGCATTTGGATAATGATAAAAACTAACATTCACAGACCACAGTAAAACTATGTGTCAGGTACTGTTCTGAGAATTTCACATATATTAACTCAACTAATTCTCATAACCATCATTTGAGGTGGGTGTAATTATTCCAATTTTACTGATGAGAAAATTGAAGCACTGAGCAGTTAATTAACTTGATATGTACGATCACATTTATGTGTGAGAAAATATATGAACCCAAGCAGTCTGGATCTAGAAGTCTAAACTTTAAACAATATGTTATATTTTTTATTTAGCTTTCCAGGAACCTTATGTTTAAGGTCATTTGTATTTCTTTGAGTATGAGCTGCACCCTTATGTCTTCTGCCCAGTTTTCTGCTGGGTTTTAGATGTTAGTCCTATTGATTTATAAGGTTTGTTTGTGTATTAGGAAATCTGGCCCTTTATAGTGAATATGTAACTCCCCTCAAAAGTTAAAACATACACTTACCATATGATCTAACCATTCTACTAAGTACCTAAGAGAAATACAAACATGTCTATACCAGGCTTATACACTAATGTTTACAGCAACTTTATTTGTAAATAAAATTGCAAATAACTTAAATGGTCACTGACAAATGAACAATTAATAGATTTTCATATAACCTGATAATGGAATACTACTACTCACCAACTAAAAAGGAATGAATTATTGACACATACAGAAAAGAATCTCATTCATAGAAAATGCAAAGCAATCCACAGTGAGAAAAAGCAGATCAGTAGTTCCTCTGAGGAGGCTGGATATGAGCATGTGAAAGAGCATGAGAAAAGATTACAAAGGGTCAAGAAGTAGCTTCTAGAGATTGATAGATGTGTTTACTATCTTGAATGGTTTCAGAGATACTGTGTTAAAATTCATTAAATTGTATACTTCAAATATGTGCAGTTTACATTTTAATTGTACCTCAATGAAGCTGTTTTTAAAAAATAGATTCATAATATATTGTGCTATTATTTTAGAAATATCAGTGGTGCTTCCTGTTTGACTTTGTCATAAGGAACACAAGCAAGTGTGAAATAATGAGTTATCCTGGAAACAGTTTCTACTTCTCTTTCAATGTTAAAGTTCAACTTGACCAATGAGTGTCCTGATTCTAAGCTGTCTCAGAAACCAATCAGAACAACTTTCCATTTGTGACAGGACATTGCACAACCAAGATAAAACCAAGATGTAGATTTAAAGAAGAGACTCACAGACTACAAACATCAACCATTACTCAATTTTCAAATTCTTGGGTACACTGAAACGGTTTCAGTCATTCATTCATTTACTTACTAAGATACATCTGACCTCTGCTATGTAGCAAGCACTGGTAAGTGCTGAGAATAAACAGTGAGCAGCAGAATTTTGTGAAAACAAAGACAATTTAAGTGTCTATCCTCAATGTACTGACTGTGTAAGTAATAATTGTGTACTTAAAATTATAAAACATGTTATTTTTCATTTGTATTCTAAGCTGCAGTGCCACCTGTGTCTGAAAAAAATAATCCCTTGAAAACTATTGGCCCACACTAGTACTTAACTCCCTTTCACTGTACTACCATACATAGTAATGCAAATGGCATCAAGCTCCATTCCACAGTGACTTTGAATTGTCCAGTTTCCATTTGTACAATTATTTGAGAGCTATAGCATTAGTATATAATGGATATTCAGCTTCTAAATGAACAAATGAACATAGCATTACATGACTTAGTGCAATGCAAGACTTCCTAGCCAGCACATCCACTTCTGAGTCATCATCTGATGTTTTTCTACTCAAGGGTTCTAAGGTTATGTTCAGTAAATTCACACATTTCCTGATTATCTTCAGAAATTTTATTTTTTAAAATAAGTAAAATACTAACAGGAAAGTAGCAATTTACATTGTGGAGAGGTCCCCGCATGAAGTAATGAAAGCCTATCATCATAATGGAAGTCACAGTTCCACTGAAAAATGCAAAAAGATGTGATATGGATGGACTACTTCCCCTGAGTGAAAGCCAATCAAAACACAAGATGACAATGCTGGCTTGATTCTAAAGCATACTAAGACCAGATCACCTACTGGCTATGACAAAGATTTCATATGGAGAATATTACCAAGTAAAAAATATACCACTGGTGAAATACATTTATGGTATGTAGCTTCTAATTTTACTTTATTTCTCATGAGAAATTTCATTTTGAAATAACACTTTAAAAGTGCCATGCTTTGAAGGCCAGTTACAAAGAAATTGGCATATGTAGAAAAACCAAGGAAGATCCAAAATTTGACGATGGTAGTAAAAATGTTAGGGTGAATAAAAATTGTTTCTCTTCTTATTTTTCAGTGTTTAGATGGATATATTACTATTATAAATTATAAAATTTATAATTACAATTGTAGATTTATAATATATTGGATAAAAATAAATGTAAAGATACACAAGAAATTAAAAATATGGAAGTTTTATATAGACTTTTTTTTACACCACTGTTTTGATACTAAAATTCAATCACTGAATCTCTTATTTTTTCTTTTTTTGGGGGTAGTGCTTCATCTACTTTTAATTTCATTAAATAGTTTTCAAGTCCCAGTGAAGGAGTACTCCAAGGGCTCCTAATCTTCTTGGTTTATTTTTTTTTTAAAGAAAACACTTACATATTACATATTATAAAGTAATTAGTAAGCATGTTAGATAGAGGAACCTAAGGTGACTCTAGGGCACAGACAGGGAAATCCTAAAGATGGGACTTTACATGGGTTTAAAGAAAGGGATTTTTTTTTTTTGGTACCGGGGATCGAACCGGGGATCTTGTGCTTGAGAGGCAGACGTCTAAACCACTGAGTAAATCACCGGCCAAGATAGGGATTTTTAAAAGCCTCAGGTTTGTTAAAGGGACAGGGAATAAAACAGCTTATTGTTTCACTTTGGATTTTAAAAAACTGAATCATTTAGCTGTTAATAACCTTTGATTTCATTTTTGACCCTAACATGCAGAAATGCAGAAGAGATAAAATGTGTTTGAACTTAATACTTATACCACATTTCAAAAAATGAACTTCAAAGTTTGTGACATTTCTAAAAGACTGAAATCTTGTTTCCTTTTGAATTGTAAATACACTTTTTTATTATTTCATACTTAATTTCAGAAGTTGACAAAGCATCATTTTCCCTATGAATATCTGATACTAACTGTTTTCTTTTCTTTTCTTTTTTTTTTTTTGGTACTGGGGATTGAACTCAGGCCCTTGTCCTTGCGCAGCAGGCGGCGAAACCACTGAGCTAAATCCCAGGCTATCTGATACTATCTGAAGCTGTAAAGTGTTAAGAAGAACTGAGAATAAGTGCCCAAGAGCAAGTCTGCCAACTGGAATGATAACTAATGTGAGATTTTTAAAAGGGTGGAGTTGGAAAAGTTCTTAGATGACAGTTTGGTTAAACCCTACTCCATATATGCCTTAATGCTTCGAGAGGACA